TCAAAAGTACCTAGGATCTTTTTTGCTTATTAATTTCATTTCTTAATTTATTATTGTGTTAGTTTGTTTTTGGTTTGTTGAGACAGGGTTTCTCTGTGTGACAGCCCTAGCTGTCTTGGAACTCACTTTGTAGAACAGGCTGATCTTGAATTCAGAGAATCCATCTGCCTCTCCCCTTTGAGTGCTGGAATAAAAAGATGCGCAACACCATACAGGAAATTTTTTTTCTTACCTTCGATTTATTCAGTGGACATCCATAAGTCTCATCTCTCCGACATGAACTGTGCAGAAGAAGATGTGTCTTAAAGCCAATGGGTGTTGGGTAGTTTCACCTATGAATGGGATTTCCCAAGCTCTCTAGTGCTCTTGAGTGTGATGGAATCTGAACTCACAAAGGAATGGGGAGGGTTGGGCTGTCAGCAAGTGAGAGCACAGATCACCTGTCCATCAACAGATCCTAAAGCACTCTGGAGTGATCTTCCATGAAGAACTTTGAAATCTCATGACAATGTCCTCCATTCAAGCAGAGATCAGAGAAGCTTAGGCGAGAGAAGGGGGCTGAGAGGAGCTGCAGCTGGGCATTCAGAAAAGTCATCTTGAAGAGAACTCCTGGACTCTGGCTCTGAGATTACTAAGGTGAGCTCTGTGAACTAAAGGAGCCTCATGTGGAATCCCTCCAAAAAGATCTCTGCGCTGTGCAATCAATAGTCTGCTTCTGGTCACAAATTAAAAGAAAAACCTTCCATCCATGTGACCAGAACATTTCTGTCTCATGCTGCCCCAGCAGAATCTCAAGGGGACAGATCCCATCCTCACAGCCTGAAGGCTTGGCAGCATGAGATCCAGGCAGCCCAGATGTGGTGGTCTGCCCACTGCACCCACCAACATATACACCCTCATTTCAACTGCTAGGGCATCAGCATGGGGTGCCTTGTCACTGGTAAAGTATTTGGGTCCTTTGTTCATAACTCATCTGGTGATGGTTTTACTGAAGGCGGTCCTAAGGCTCATGTTTGAATGCTTCATTCCTAGTTGGTGGTACTTTTGTAAGAATACGGAGGTGTGAAGTTTTTGGAGGAAATATATCATTGTGTATGAAAGTTCAGATCTCAAAAGACCCCGATTATGAACTTAAGGAGTAGGTTCTCCCACCTCCCCCCAGTCGCTTTCTCTTTGCCCCCCCCCCCCCCGCCTTTCTCCACTCCCCTCTCCCTTTACTTACTTTCTGGTGTCTGATCAAGATATGAGCTCTCTCAGCTATTGCTTCTCTCTGCCATCATGGACTCTCCCCCATCACTTTGGTGTGATTATCTCCAGGCTCAGGTGTCTCTCTGCAGACCACATGACTTCATTCTTCTTGGTGAAGGGCAACAATGCTTTCATGTCTGTTCCCCACACAGTCTTCACATTGCTGGATGTTTTCCTTGGTTATATCACATAGCTTTTGCAAATGAGGCTGCAAATAACATCATTGTTTAAGTATCTCTGGGGTCTGTTGTTTCTCTGGCCTTCAAGAACGTTGGACATGCAAGTGCTATTCAGACATCCAGAGACAGGTAAAATACAAACTAAAAAGACCAACATCAGCCTCGACCAAATCCAGGTGGATACATATACCAACCAGATGATTTAGAATATTAAAAATCATAAAAAATACAAACCTAACACAGTGTTTCCTAAATTACAGAGTTGAAAATTCAACTACTCCATGGGATGCTGATAGCCAAGCCAAATAAATACCAGTGAATCAAGAAACTGCCTGCAGCTGGGGGTGGAGTTAAGGTTCTCTCTATGAACTATATAGCTTTCTGATACCCACCTTCAAGAGCCCCAGCTCCCACTGTTCCCTCCCAATGATGGGAAAGATGGGCTGGCAAAATAACTATGCACTTGTCCTGGATCACAAAGAGAGAGCAAAATCCGCAGAGTGTGAGAGAGAAGCCCTCAGGTCAGCGTGGTCCAGGGTGTTGCCAGCGGTAAGAAAACTGGCCTGTGGTGGATCCAGGAAGAACAACAAGGGAATGGCAATTCCAGACAGCAGTTCCTGAGAGCACTAACCATGGGCATCACAAAAGGAACACAGTCCAAGCTTGCTGGCAGCCTATCCGAAATCAGAGAAGGAAGCTATAATACTGGCTGAACATGGGTCCAGAAAGCCATAGAGCTGGCTTTGGGTATCAGAATAGCCCAGAGGCCAAGTTCTGTCTCTCCCTGAGGTGAAAAATGTTTGGGTCCTCAGGTAGGAGAGTGAGCTGTGGAATGTTGTCTGAAGAGCTTTTGCCTGCAAGCACACACTTCCCCATTAGCTGCATCTGCTCCTCTTCCCACCCACCACCTTGGACCCCAGGGCTGTCTAACCAACTGTGGACTGAGAGAGGTTCTCAAGGCCAGACCAAATCTCAGAGGCCGACTTTCATGGTCTGGTTTCTTGGCCGCGGTAGGAGCCTTAGCCTGGGCCTTACCAGCGCTGCTTATGGAGAAAGGACCTCGAGCTGGAGATGGCCATCAAGAGAGAGCCATATTCGAGCCTTGGACCGTGCTGTCGCCGAAAACCGTGGCGCAGCGAAAGGGACAAATATTCACTGGTACAAACCCCGAATTTGTCGTCTTCCAGGGGGCCAGGGTCAAAAGTCTTGGGACACTTGCCCGGCAAAAAATGAGCATTTGCCGACGGCTTCGCTTCGGTATCGGCTATCTAAAGAAAACGACCTTGAGCTGACAATAGAGGATCCCATAAGGAACCAGAACCGCGGCGTCCTGACTGCACCACTGCACGCTTGCAACAGGGCAAAGCCATCTCTTTCAGCATGTTTGCTCACATCGTCCGGTTAGTGGTTCCTGGCTCGGGGCGAATCCCAAGGCAGCCTGCCTGGCAGAGTCTGATTCAGTCTGAAAAACGAAAGAAGCTGTGAAGAAAATCACCGATGTGGTTCAAAATGGCAGTCTGATTGCAGTCCCGGCCTGCTGACTTTCGATCAGAAGTTGACTAGGTGGATGAATCCTGGCACTAGTAGACAGCGGAGCAGGACCCCGGAAACCCCTAGCGCTGGCTTCGTGCACCAGCGCCACAGCGACGCCAGCGGTAAAGACGAGTCCGGACTGCAGCTCAGAGGCGGAGCTGCTTACTGGGACTTCTTCCCTGTCTGCCCTGCGATCCAGAAGCCCTCAGGCAGGCGTGGTCCGGCGTCTTGACCACAGTAGGGGCACTCGTTAGGGACCTTAGCTGCGCCGTGAGTGATGAAAGAGAGAGATGGCCGGCCGTCGGAGAGAAGGCCATTCTCCAGTACTGACCCGTGATGTCCTGAAAACCTTTGGTGCAGTGAAAGGACCGTCAGGCGATGGAGATTAGGTTGCCGGGGGGCGGGTGGGGAGGACACACCAAATTTGTCCTTTTCCATTGGGTTCTGGTCGGAAGTCTTAGGACACTTGACCGGTCAAAACGTATCTTGGCCTATGGCAGTCGGTACTGATTCTGCTACCGGAAGAAATCGGGTGAATGTTAGCGTTTATACAAACTGTGGCTAGCCGAGTGTAGAGGATGCAAAAAACGAATTCAACCCGGGGCATCCTGAGACCTCATCTGGTGTGGACTCGCCCTGGGGCCTCAGACAGTTCTCGCAGCGGTTTGCTCAGGTAGTCGTGACTGCGGTTCGTGGTTCAGGTGGAATCCCGCAGCAGCCTGCCTGGCAGAGCCTGATTCAGTCTGAAAAACGAAAGAAGCTACGGAGAAAATAACGGATGCGGTTTGAAATCGCGGTTGGACTGCAGCTCGAGCTTGCTGACATCGACTCGGTGGATGAATCGTGGCACTCGCGGACAGCGGAGCAGGAGCCGGAAAACCCATAGCGCTAGCTCCGTGCACCCACTCTCAAAACGAATGGACACTTGCCAAAAATCGCAAAGGCGGTTTGAAAATCGCGGTCCATTTGCAGCATGGGCGAGCTGACACCGGATTGGAAGTCGCCTAGGTGGAAGAAACACCGCCCTGGCGGAAAGTGCCACAGGGGCCAAGTAACCCAAAGCTAGCTTTGAGCACCCAGAATGCGAATCCTTGCCAAGCAGAGTGCCTGGGCCACAGCGACCCCAGCGGCTGGCTGTACAGAGGTGTCCGGAATGCAGCTGGCAGGCCAAGCTGCCTTTGGCTTCAGAGGCTTTTCTGCTTCTGCCCGAGTCTTCCCCATTGGCTCCAGTGAGAGTGAGAAAAGGTCAGGCAGGCTTTATCTGTCGTCTTGCCCGCAGTAGGGGCACTCATAGGAACCTTAGCTGCGTCGCGACCTCTAAAAGAGAATAAAAGGAGAAGGCCGGCATAGACAAGGCCATACTCGAGTCCAGACAACTGAAAGTCTCCCGAAAACCTTCCGCGCGAGGAATGGAACGCAGGGACAACGGAGATTCGGAGGTGCAGACACCGAATCCATCGTCTTCTTTCGGTGAGGGTCGGATGTTTTAGGACCCTTTCCCGACCAAAATGTTTTAGGACCCTTTCCCGACCAAATGGTTTTTTTTTTCCCACGAAAGTTGGCACTGAATCGCTATGGAAAGGAATCGTGTGAATTTACAGCGTTTATATAAAGGAGAACGAACCGAACGTAGAGGACGCAAACACGAAAGAAACCGCGGACTCCTGAACGTTATAGGGTGCGGACTGGCCCGCGCGGGCAGCAGATGTTTCTTGCTCTGCACCATTTGTCTCCCATCGTCGGGATCGCGATACGGATGGAATTCCTCAGCAACCTTGGGAAACTGCACGATAGGGCACAGGGAAGTGGCACTTGGTCCAGTGCCTGCCTCACAGTGACCCCAGCTGCAAAGATTTGACTGGCCTGCAGCTTGGAGGCATAGCTGAGGACTGGCATCAATAGTCTTTCTGCTATTGATTGGCTAGCACTTCTTCATGGCCCCTGTCCCCAGATCCCAGCGGCGCCTACCCACCCCGTTCACCCAAGGGCCTGAGGATTGACCACGTGGTCCCCATACCAGCATGTCCAGGAATCCTAGAAACGTCGACTTCGGGGTGTCGTCAGGTCAGTACCTTTGAAAACCGGCGCGGGTACAACCAAGTAAATTACGTTTATGTATTAAGTAATTAAGAATTGACACGGACCACCGAAAGCACATTGACGTGTTTATTTTTGGAAGAAACCGGCTGCACTGAAGACCGAACCGGCTGCGACGACTGAAGAGGTTTAGGCAAGGATCATCTTGTCACGGAACCCACTTTCAAACGCTGAAAGTCTCCTGGAGCTCTCTAAGGCGCTCTGCTGTGGGACACCGGTTAGCAGCAGCCACACTAAATGCAGAGTATTAGGCAAGGAATGCATTCCGGACTCGGACACGACGTCGTCTGCAGACTGGACCTCCGTCCTCGGGTCCGTACTCGAACCCGTTGCCGGCTCCGGACTCGGAGCCCTCGTGGGCTGCACACTCGCACACGTCGTCGGCTCCGGCCACGGCCGCCGCTCGGTCTGCTGCAGACTCTCCGCAGACATGGGATCCGGAATGGTCGGAACGGGAATGATCCCTGTCGTCTCGTCCTCGTAATGGAACCGGTCCCCTTCTCCCCGTCGTCGGAACGGGAATGGTCCCTGTCGTCTCGTCGTTCCGGTCGTCCTGTGGTCGGGACCTGACCAGACCTCGACGTCCCGTGGTTGAGACGGAACCAGTACCCGTCGTCCCTTCGTCGGGATGGGTCCTGTCCCCATCGTCCCGTCGTAGGAACGGACTCCTCCCAGTAGTCCCGTGGTCGAAATGGGACTTGTCCCAGTAGAAGACTCCGGAATTGGCCCCATCTTCGGCTCTGCACTTGCCTCTGTCGTCTGCTCGGGACCCGCTGCTCTGTCATCCACACCATCACTCCAGCAGCACTTGCACCGGGAGGACAGCAGCGCATGCGCAAGGGCAGGCAGAAGAGCCCTTTCCAGCCTGGGTATTTGTAGTCTTGAAGGAAGGCGGGGTCAGAAAATTGCGAAATTTCAAAAAAGAAACCGCAACCTCTAGTCCAGTATCCAATGCAGCCGACTCGTCGCGTCGGCAGGACGGGACCGATCCCCGTCGTCCCGCTGTCAGGACGTGACCCGTCCCTCTCTTCGGGCGATCAGGACGGGACCGGTCCGCGTCGTCCCACTGTCCAGACAGGTCGACGCGGAGGTTTCCAGTCCCTACCGCCAGGCGACGGGGCGGGGACGACGCTGACGGGTCCTGTCCGGACCACGGGACGATGCGGCGGGTCCACCGCGGGACAACGCGGACCGGTCCAGTACGGACCGAGGGCCGACGCGACCGGTCCACCGAGGGACGACCGTTTCTCACTCTCACCGGAGCCAAAGGAGAAGACCCAGGCAGAAGCAGAAACGCTACTGACACCAAACGCAGCTCGGCATGCCGGCTGCACCGCCGGCCGCTGGCGTCGCTGTGGCGCCGGAACTCAGCTTCACTGCGATTCCCAAGGCGCGGAGCTAGCACTAAGGGGTTCCCCGACCACTGTGTCGCTGTCCGCGAGTGCGCGGATTCGTGCGCGGAGCCGAATTCCCATCGGACGTCGGCTCGCCCGAGCTGCAATCCGACGGTGATTTTCAAACGGCGTCCTTGATTTGCTGCCACTGTCCTTTCGTTTAGAGACCGGTATCAAACTCTGTATGTAAGGCTGCTGCGGAATTCGATCCGAACGGCCAATCCGACGACGTGGACCGGTGCGAGTCCGCGGCCGAGGATTTGGGCCAGCGCGCAGCCGAGGACCGGTCCGAGGTGCTGGGGGACGGGGGCGTACGGTGGGTATGGGTCCGCAACAGATGAGCGACCGAGGGGACGAGTGCGGAGCCGGCGACGGGGACGAAGGGGGTGAGTCTGTACACCATACCTTAGGTCAAGTGGCTGCGGTTTCTATTCTGAAAAGTCCCAATTTTCTGACCCCGCCTTCCTTCAAGACTATAAATACCCAGGCTTGGAGGAGCCTGTAGCAGGCTCTGCTGCCTGCTACAGTGCAAGCTCTGCTGTCCTCCCGCTGCAAGTGCTGCTCAAGCGATGGAGACGACGACGGAGCACCGGTTCTGGAGCAGACCACCACGGGGGCCAGTGCAGAGCCGACATCGACGCGGGCGAGGCCGAGGCCGAGGCCGGAGCCGACGACGTGGTGTGCGAATCTGCAGCCGCCGCCGCCGACCTGTGCGGGTCCGCCAAAGCCGACGGTGGGGGCGAGGATGGAGCCAACGACGGGGTTCCAGGCTGCAGACGACGCCTAGGCCGACGACGACGCCGACGACGACGCCGACGACGATGCCGACGACGACGCCGCCGACGACGATGCCGACGACGGGTGCATTTCCGGAGAGCGTTCGTTGCCTAATATGCTGCCTGCTGTGCTGTGTAGCTGCTGCACACCGGTGTTCCAGAGCAGGGACCCTTAGAGAGCTCCGCGAGATTTCCAGCATTTCAAAGTGAGCTCTATGCCAAGAAGATCCTTGCCTAAAACCTAGCCAGGTTGTCTTCAGTGCAGCCGGTTCCTCTCAAAATAAACACATCAATGTGTTTTCGGTGGTCAGTGTCAATTCTTAATTACTTAATACATAAACGTAATTTACTTGGTTGTAACCGCGCCAATTCTCAAAGGTACTGACCACACCCACCCCGAAGCTCATATTTCTAGGATTCCTGGAAAGGCTGGTGTGGAGAAAAGGGTGGTCTGTCCTCAGATCCACAGGTGAAAGCGGTGGGTAGGCACCACCGGGGTCTGGTGTGCTGTGGAGTTTTGGAGGCGGGGGGGGGGGGGGAGGAGTGATGAGGAAGTGCTAGCCAATAGCAGAAAGGCTGTTGATGCCAGTCCTCAGTTCAAACCCAAAGCTGCAGGCCTGCCACTTCCTTGCAGCCAGCGTCCCTGAGAGTCAGGCACTGGACCAAGTGCCACTTTGCGGTGCACAGCGCCCCATCCTGCAGTTTTCCACGGTTGCTGCGGAATTCCATCCCTACCGCGTTCCCTTCGACGGGAGACAAACGGTGCAGTGCAAGAACCCTCTGATGCCATGGTGTCAGTTCGCACCCTATAGCGGTCAGGAGGACGTGGTTTCTTTCCCGTGTTCGCGTCCTCTACGTTCGGTTCTCTGTGGTTTCTATACACGCCACTGTAACTTCACCCGATCCCGTTCCGTAGCAGATTAAGTGCCAGCTTCCGTGGGCAAAGACACGTTTTGGTCGGGCAAGGGTTCCAAGGCATCCGACTAGAACCGCGTGGAAGACGACGGATTCGGTGTTTGCGCAACCCCCCACCCCCGCACCCTCCCCCGCGCCGAATCTCCTTCTCGCCGGCGGTGCATTCCCAGCGCCAACGGTGTTGGGGACATTCTGGACTCAGGACTCGAGTATGGCCCTGTCTCCGACGGCCTTTTTCGTCGCCTCCTTTTTTAGTCGCGACGCAGCTAAGGACCCTCCGCGTGGCCCCACTGCGGTCAAATGCCCGGCCAGGGCTACCCGACCATTTCTCACTGTCACCAGAGCCAAAGGAGAAGACCCAAGCAGAAGCAGAAACGCTACTGACGCCAAACGCAGTTGAGCATGCCGGCTGCACCGCCGGCCGCTGGTGTCGCTGTGGCGCCGGAACTCAGCGTGTCCCGTCAGGACCGCCGAAAAACGATAAAGGGTCCGATCCGGACCTTGGGACGACTCGGCAGGTCCACCGCGGGACAATGCGGCGGGTCTAGTGTGGGATACCGTGGGACCATGCGGCGAGTCCACCGCTGGACAACTGTGACGAGTCTCGTCCGGACGCCCGGACGACGCGACGGATCCACCGCGGGACGATGCGGCGGGTCCACCGCGGGACGACCGTTTCTCACTCTCACCGGAGTCAAAGGAGAAGACCCAGGCAGAAGCAGAAACGCTACTGACGCCAAACGCAGTTCAGCATGCCGGCTGCACCGCCGGCCGCTGGCGTCGCTGTGGCCCCGGAACTCAGCGTCAAGGCGATTCCCGGGGCACGGAGCTAGCACTAAGGGGTTCCCCGACCACTGTGTCGCTGTCCGCGAGTGCGCGGATTCGTGCGCGGAGCCGAATTCCCATCGGACGTCGGCTCGCCCGAGCCACAATCCGACGGTGATTTTCAAAGGGCGTTCGTGATTTTCTGCCACTGTCCTTTCGTTTAGAGACCTGAATCAAACTCTGTATGTAAGGCTGCTGCGGGGTTCGATCCGCACGACCAAACCGACGACGTGGACCGGTGCGAGTCTGCAGCTGACGATTGATGCCAGCGAGCAGCCGAGTACCGGTCCGGGGTGTGGTGGAGGGTTGGAGCGTATGGTGGGTACGGGTCCGCAGAAGATGACCTAGGGGACGAGTGCGGAGCCGGCGATCGGGACGACGGGGGCGAGTCTGCACCCGGATACTCTACGTCAAGAGGCCGCGGTCTCTTTTCTGAAATTTCGCCATTTTCTGACCCCGCCTCCCTTCATGATTACAAATACCCAGGCCTGGAGGAGCCTGTAGCAGGATATGCTTCCTGCCCCAGTGCAGGCACTGCTGTCCTCCCCGCCCAAGTGCTGCCCAAGCAATGGAGACAATGGAGCAGAGGTTCCCTTGCAGACCACCAAGGAGGAGAGTGTGGATCCGACGACCGGGGCGAAAGGGCTTCCATAGAACTGTTGGAATCTGCTGCTTTCCAAGGGGGCGTGCCCGGATCCCACAAAGAGATTGAGTCCAGATCTGACAACCTGTTCAAAACCTCAACAGGTGAATGGGGTGAGTGTGGAGCCAAGGACAGTTGTGTGTTCCGAACCCAGAACGGGTTCTGGTTCAGAGCTGACAATGTTTATGGGTCCAGGTCAGAGGGCAGAGATGATTGTGGAGGCGAGTTTGGAGCCCAGGAAAGGGGACCCGTCTGCATCAGATACCATATATCAAGACGTCATGGTTAAGGTGAATTTGGCAGGCAATGGATGGAGCTAGAAAACATTTTGAGTGAGGTAACCCAGACCTAGAAAGATAATTATCACATGTACTCACTCATAAGTGGTTGTAAAACATAAAGTAAAGGAAACCAGCCCACAAATCACAACCCTAGGGAATCTAGACAACAATGAGGGCACTCTGAGAGGCTTACATAACTATAATCTACATGGCAAGTAGAAAAAGACAAGATCACCTGGGTAAGTTGGGAGCATGGGGACCTTTCCAGAGGTGTGAAGCAGAGGAGAAGAGGTAGGGAGGGGAGCAGAGAAAAATATAGAAATCAATAAAAATCAATAAAATAATAAAAAATGAAAAATGAACTTTTGGGAAATGACACAATGATATTCAACAAATGGTTCTTAAAAATTGAATAGCCACAAGCAGAATGCACCTAGCTCTCACTCTGTATGACCCTATAGGGGCACCATTCAACACAGATCAATTCTTCCTATGGAAGTCAAAACTCTAAAGGTGGCAGATGAAAAAGTACCCCAAACTCGCAGGATCCCTCATGGGCAAGCACTTGCTGAGCAGGACTTCAGCACTAAGACATAGTGCTACCAACTGCAAGAGGGACATCATGAAACTGAAATTCTCAGGTCCAGCAAAGGCAGTGGTCTAATGTCCACCGAACAGAAGAAACTCTTTGATAACTTTTCATCTGGTATTGTATTAGTGTCTACAATCCACAAAGCACTCAGCCTTTAAAAAATCTTTTTAAAGAAACTCTTTGTCTCACTTACGTTTGATTTCTATGTGTATTAGTGTTTTGCCTGAATGCTTGTCTGTGTGTGGGTGTCAGATGCCTTGGAATTGGATTTACACAGTAGTGAGCTGACAAGTGTGTGCTGGGAATTTAACCTGGGTCCTCTGGACAGGCAGCTGGTGCTCTCCAGGATGCAGAAGTCACTTATCAAGGAAGAGAACATGGGATGACCCAAACAACAAAAGGTCCAGCAAAGTGATCATGTCATTGGCAGAGGCAGCAGCACAACTGTTATGTTCACCGTTGCTAGCCAGCTGAGAGAGGCGCTAATACCACTGAGATCCATGTTATCC